AAACATGTTTCAAGGTGTATCTTAAATCTCTTGATATCACTGACATTTTATTATTTATTTTATTTATTAGTCTGCAACATGAATTTTGATTTTTTTTTAAACGTGAAACATATCTTGTATCTATAACTTGATCATAGTAAGTCATTTTGGGCATAATGGTTCTTTAAGGGCCAATTTCTTCAGCAACATTATTTGATGGTCAGTTGGACAAATAGGAAATGACCTTATCGAAATGCAGTTTGACGAAAGCTGTCAAAGCTCTATGATTATCAGCGATTTCTATTGAAATGTTGAATAAATTCGTGAAATAAGGGTACATTATAGATGTACTATTATGTCTTTTTGCTTCAGAATTAGGATAAGTTTCATAGAATTTAAAATTTTTGTCATTTCAGAAAAGACGGCCAGTTATTTAAATGGACCAATGAAAATGAGAGAAATAATGTCTAGCTATTATATTTGGTAGGATCTTTTCACTGTTTTTGCATGGCAATCTAGTTTTGACTGTATATCACCTACAGGGTGTTGTACATAGTACGTACCTGTAGAAGTGTACCGATTTTCGTTATTTTGCGAAACAAAAGGATATCAAACGTATTCCAACTGATTCATCATCTTTTGTTATATCAAAAACAATTTTTGCCGATTTATCATCCAGAAATCCACACCAAATGTAAACAAACAGCACATTCTGCATTTCTGGGTCCTAAATCATCGATATTTGTAAAAGTATCCGCTTCCACCTATTATTCATCGTCTAGATATTATAAGTCAGAATCAAAAACACCTATTTATGAAAATATATCTCCAAGCATTGTTATATTTTTTTATTATTTCTATTATTATAACACGTCTGGGATATCAATTGCTTTTAAAGTGATCTGCACATCTGCAGTATTGCCGAACTGGCAAAAAAAATCTACTGTTTGTGGGCAAACACATCCAGTCAGAGTTAATCAAGCGGCCTGGCGTGTACAAATAAGATGGAGCGAAATTATTTATATTTCATTATAGCGTCGATCAATCAAATCTAATCCAATATTGGCTCTATCGTGGTTCAGTTCTCTGTTTGCGGTATTTGCTTTGCTTTTGTTTTGAAGGATTACAAAATCGATCTATTCGGAAACCTTCGACGCTCAATTGTGAAGTAAACTCATCCAGTCATATGGTGACTAAGTTCAGCACTGTAGTTATTACACATCTATAAAAAAACATCTACCTCAGAAAGCCCCTTGATAGTAAAAGATAAACTTTCATCAGCTTTATCGCTTGTGCTTCATTTTTAGATTATATTTTTTTTATATTTGATTTCAAACTGGTTTGGATGCAGTCATGAGGAATTTCATTATAAAGCCGATATATTAGAAACGATTTTCCGTAAATACAACTGAAATTTCAATCTCTTCATTAATAATGACCAAGGCATCACGATTCTCGCTAGGATTGAACGAAAAATAAAGCTGAGTATCGTCAGCATACAAATGCACCTGTCAATTTCGGAGACCTTGGAAAAGGTTGGATGTATAAATACTAAAAAATCAGAGGACCTAAAATGGAGCCTTGTAGTATACCCGATGGGGTGACATCTTTGGAGGAATTCCCTTTATCTGGTTCATTAAATTGTGTTCTGTTAGTTAGATAGTGACACATAGGCGTGTTAGCAGACTCGGAAAGCCCTATACAGGGTGTCCGCAAAGTTGGGGTTTTCCTTTACACGACGTGTAGATCTTGAAAACATAAGCAATTTTTCTTAGTATCATATACACCAATGTCTTAAGGGAACCGAGATAAAGGGCTCTGCAACATCAAAAATATCTGAATACCGCCCTGTAGCCGCGACCCGCCGCGATATCCCCGACTGTTACAAGGTCTCAACCCGACGGCAGAACTGGGTCGGGGTCAGTGTGTCAGGTCAATATGCAACCTTCAACCGACGGTTACGGTCACGCGTGTAGAGGTAATCGCGTAGACGAGAATCCCTCAACAAGCACTAGAGACGTGGCTATAGAAGTGCAAATATCAAAAACTAAAGTGTGGCAAACGCTGCGTGAAGAGGGGCTGTATCCGTTTCACGTCCAACGTGTACAAGCCCTTCAACCTGACGATTTTCCAGCAAGAGTGCGGTTTTGTGAGTGGTTGTTGCATCAACATGACAAAAATCCGGACTTTTTGAAGTGCATATTGGTTCATGCGTAATGGGGTGAATAACTTTCGCAACACTCATGTTTGGTCAGTAGAAAATCCGCACGCTGTCCGTCGGGCACATTTTCAACAAACATTTTCGGTGAATGTTTGGGCTGGCATGTTGAACGGTATGCCCATTGGACCATTATTCTCTCAAATAGACGGGATGCAATACCTAGACTTTTTACGCAACATTTTGCCTTCCTTGTTTGCCTGCGTCTGCTCGGTAGCGCATCAGCTGATTTCATTTTCTGTTGGAGCGGTATGATTTCGGGCAGAAACGTACTTAGCCCTTCTCGTCAACTGGAGAGTGAGTACTTTTTCCTTTATTTTTTTTAACTTGGTCGCCCTCGTTTCACTACACATTACCTTTGTTATTTCAAGGGTAGTTGTTTCTGAAAAGGAAAACCCCAACTTCGCGGACACCCTGTATAGTGTAAAATACCTTTTCAAGATTTAGTTTTTCAAGCGCCTTGGAGTAGTCCAAGAGCACGAGAGCGGTGGTTTTTCCGGAATCCGTTGCTTTGAAGATGTCAGTTATATTTGACAGTGCAGATTCGCAACTGAAATCCTTCCTAAATCCTGAGATAGTATAGTAATAAATTGTTCTCACGTAGATAATTCGTTGGTTCAATATTATCTCGATAAATTTTGATAGAACTGGTAAAATACATATACTCACTTCTTTGGTATTGGTATAATTTTGACAATTTTCCATGTCTGGAAATTCTGTATCTGAAATATATTAGTAAAGTAAGGGATCATTTTGTTGGAACGCAATTTCAAGATTTATACCATCAGCACCCATCTGAAGCGATTTGATTATAACAAAGTGTCAAAGACGAGCTTGCCCCAGAGGCCATTTATACCATTCGGATTGTTCATATATCGTAGAAATAATTACGAGGTCTTTGTAAACATCGAATTGCTGGGCATCCTCTTGGAGAATACGGTAATCGCTGATTTCATTAACGCGTGTTTCATAAGCAATATTTTATATGATCCTCATATCATTGGAAAGCAGTGCCAGCCTAGGAAGTAAACAATGATTAACGAACGACATGTGATTCGGAAAATGCATCGCACTTTGACGTTTATTCCATTAAAACAGTCGAACCGGCCAGGCGTATGTCACGGCAGAGGTGATTTTTATTTGATTTACAGCTCACTCTTTTGTTTGATGATTCTACGTGACGTCATTGCTTTGCACTGCTGCAGCTCACATAGAGTTAGGTTGTTAGTTATCCGGACTAATGAGAGATCCAATTTGGTTAGCACTAGAGTGTATACAGGATGTGTCACTGCGTATTTTTGAGTTAACTTACAGTAAAAATACGCGGAACGAACTCTAGCATGCAAATATTCTGCCATCTGCTGACGGAGTAAGAATCAGTATCGACACAAAGACAAAACCTATGAACAAAAACCAGGACACCAATGATTGTGTAAACGTGAATGCAGAGATATACAGGGTATCCAAACACAAAAGTTGGGCCTAATCATTTTTATTTTTTCTGACTAAGAAATATCAAAAAACTAACGAAACTTTTCCATTGGCACTTCATGATGGTGTTTTTAAATTTTGTGCCTATTCTTCGATTGCGGTAGTCGTATACCGATATTTAGTCGCCGGCGTATAAGAGAATCCCATCTCTATGCGTATCAGCAAAACAACCCGTAATGAAGAGATACCTTACTCGAAATGCGCCGGCGAGAACCTAATTGCAGTCCACAATAGCTGATATAAACTTAAGTTTAATTTCCGTTTTCCGCTCGGAAAGTTTAAATTGAAAACACCTTTAATACCTCCCTCTAGAACGGGAACTATACACGAGATCCTCCGCATCCGGCAAAGCAAACATTTCGTAGAGGAGTGATAGAGAGAGAGATTCTCGTGACTCTTGGAATACTCCATTTAGCAGGTTTTCACAGAATCAAAATTTGAACTAGTTTTGTTGTTGTTGAAGTTTGAATTATATATGTTATCAATATTCGAATTCAACTTTTTTTTTGTGTACAGGAATCGTCAGAAAACGCATACATAAAATGTAATATAGGATATAAATAAGTAGATAAACGGACCAACAAACAAGCAACTATTGACAAACAAATTCAGACACTGTATAAGAACATTCATTCAATAAAAACCTCTTCAACTCTGCTATAAAAGACTTCAGATTAAGTATAGCTACAGGCGCTTCTTATTGGGATTGGTGATGGTGGTGGTGGTGGTGGTGGTGGTGGTGGTGGAGCTACGACGGTTTTGCCAGATGTCGCCTAGCATCGCGCGCGGCAAAGTTACGGCGTCGGGAACCCTAATTTTGCAACAAACCTCGTATATTAAGCTCCAAGAAGATTTTACGTAATAGACATGTACGTCGAAAGCTTCTTTTTCCTGTAAGGAAAATATTTCTGCTCACCACTTGATATTCCACGCAGAACGAAAGCTGCCGAGCCCAATTGCTGATGTCGAGGAACCGCTTGCATTGTCGCGTAGGATGGGTTTGTTCTCGGGTAAAATATTGTTCTAATAAAAAGATACACGCTGTTGGAAACATTTGCATCCAGCGTTCCAGATGGTGTCCGTTCCCGGGCTCTGATAAAACCTCCCATCCGGTGCTGTCGTGCTGAGTGTGCCAAGAAATTTTGTCTAGATGAAAGGAAATATTGCTGTTAGTTGGGTGTGTTAACGGTGCCTGGATGCATTCGTCAGGATCCGTTTTCATTTGGTTGGGTCTGCTAGTATAAAAAGCCATTCCTCGGACCCTTGAACGACTTAAAACTTATTCTTGTTAAAAGACCATTTTCTACTCCAGCCAAAGCTCCGAAGAGCAGTTGTTCATTCCTGAACTAAAGGTGGACGTATATCTTATTTCAGGCTCTTAACACGGACGAAACAGCGCCGAACGCGGTTGGTTGTCAAGTGATGTCCCCTCTCTACTGTTCCAATGCGTACAATCTGTGATATGTCGTTATGCCTCTCCCGGTGTCACATGGCTCTTGCTGGGTGAGAAATGCGCTGCATCCTCGTCCCACTTCCCAGTAGTATCTCTCGCGTTTCACGGCTCTTATCGCGATTTCTCGTTCGCCCATACATAATCTCACCATAAATTCCCATGGTGGGACCTCTGTATGACGGACGAATTTATCGTACGTCGGTTGGATGGGAAACGCATGGATGGGAAAGCTGGGAAGTTAAAGCAGTTGAACAGGAGCTGGGAAGCGGATACGTGGGAAGTTAAGAGGGAAGTTTAAGGCGGACCTAGGAAGTGAAAAAGCAGGTGGGAAGTGTAGGCTGAGATGAGCTAGGAAGCTAGACGAAGCAGGGAACCTAATGGGAAGTGAAGAAACTAAAAGGGAGTTGAGAATTTAAGGGGAGCTGGTAAGTTACGGCGAAGGTTACGGAAAAGACGGGAAAATAAAGAAAACCTTTGAATTTGAGAGGAAGGTAGTAAGTTAGGTGCAAGTTGAGAAGTTAAGGAGAAGTTGGGATGTTTCGTGTTAGGTTAGCAAGGCTCTCTATTCGATGTGGGCTTGTAGACGTGTTGTCGGGGTAAGGTGGGGGCTTAAACCCAAAGAGGTATACTGGCTCTACACGTCGATAGTACGTCCATCTCTCTTGTACGGCTCCCTGGTCTGGTGGCCTTGCATTAGAACTGAGACAACTAAGGCCAAACTCAATAAAATTCAGCGTTTGGCCTGTATTAGCATTACAAACGCAGTGCGAACAACGCCATTGAGTGCAATGGAAGCTCTGTTGGATCTCCCACCGTTGGATCTGGCGATCCGCGGTGAAGCGAGAGTAGTCGCTCATCGACTATGGAGTCAGGGCTGCTGGGCTTTCTTGAATCCTGTCAAGGGGCATACTGCCATCTTAGTCGAATTAGAAAGGGAGGACCCCGTCCTTCTAAGCAGGGGTGATCGTATTACCCCTAAATATCGCTTCAACCGCAAGTTTATTGTGGAGTATCCAACGAGGGAGGAGTGGGACGCCGGTAGCCGAAGTGAGCGGGCAGGTCTGGTACACGGACGGCTCGGTCACCGAACAGGGCTCAGGTGCTGGGGTCTCTGGGCCTAGAACTAGGCTATCTCTGCCTCTCGGTGGATACACCACTATTTTCCAGGCGGAAATCTTTGCGATTCTGGCTTGTGTATCTCACATTCTGGAGGAGGGTGGGCCTAGGAGAAGAATAGCAATCTTATCCGACAGCCAGGCTGCAATGAAAGCACTAAGCGCCTGTAAGATTACTTCGAGTCTTGTATTGCAATGCAGGGAGACTCTGGATTGCCTCGCAGCGAGGCATCCGGTATCGTTAATATGGGTACCGGGGCACGCTGGGATAAGGGGCAATGAGACGGCGGACACTCGGGCGAAAGCAGGATCAGCCAGCCAGCTCGTTGGTCCTGAGCCAGCTCTAGGAGTGACCGCGCATAAAGCTAGGAGGGAAATGGAGACGTGGGTTGCAAGACAACACTCTCAGAAATGGAGAAGTATCTCTAGACATCTCCGGCAGGCACGAGAGCTCATTGAAGGGCCCAGTGCTAAAGATGGACGCTTCCGCCTATCTCTGGGTAGAGCCAACCTAAGGTTGCTGGTGGGACTGTTGTCTGGCCATAACACGTTAAGGCGTCACCTGCACGTGATGGGGGTGGCTGAGGATCCCTTGTGCGAACGCTGCGGAGTAGAGGAAGAGACCTCGGCGAACGTTTTGTGTCGCTGTGAAGCTAAAAGGGCGAGGCTTGTTATTTAAGGATTGTAGAGGTGCATAAGGGTCCGCGTAAGCGGCCTATGCACTGGCTCCTTACGGTGGCCGGGATGCCTCTAATTTTAAGTTTCGTTCATTCATTGGGATGTTTCAGGACTTCAGAAGTTAAGGGGAAGCGGAAAAGCTAAAGGGGAAAGTTTGAAGTTAGGGAGAAGATAAACAGTTCAATGTGAGCTCGGAGGCTAACGGGAAAATGGGAAGTTCGGCGTTGCAGGTAAGTTAAGATGTTGGTAAGTGTAAGGGTATTTTTTTTTATACTCCAACTACCACGAAGGCCTAAGGCCTAAGCACCCATTGGGTACCGTGGGGCTATAGGGGGATACATGGGAAAAGGGGGGACGCCACACGGACTCTGGCGAGGGAACACGTGTGCATGCAACATGCACACATTCTGGCTCCGCCTACGAGAACCGCCGGGTGGTACCTCCGCGTTTGACAGTCAGAGACCATCTACCACCTACGGACAATCACAACATCCATAGCCAAGAGACAAATTTCTCCTGGGACGGGACTCGAACCCGCACAGCGCACGGCGACTGATCAGGAGACCGAAGAGTCTACTACTGCGGCCACCGCTGCTGCCTAAAACAAACGGTAGCTGACAAATAGGGGCGAAACAGGGAAGTTGAGGGAACGTTGGGAAGTTAACGTGAAAAAGGGATATTAAACGAGAGGTGAGAGCTCAAGGAAAAGTAAAGAGGTAGTCGGTAAGTAGGGAGCGTGGAAACTTGACGTGAAAGAGGGAGGTTATGAGGACGTTGCCAGTTTCGGAGAACCTCGGATAGTAAGGGAAAGTTGGAAGTCAAAAGGAGAAGCTGGTAAGTTAGGAACAGTTAATGTTGAGTTTAAACTTGGCTGATCCGTTAGGGCGAAGCGGAAACGTGAGGGAGACAGTTAAGGGGAAGTTGAGCAGGGAGAAATAGGGAAGTTAAAGGAAATCTGGGGAGTTACTGGTAAGTCGTTTCATATTTGTTGCACCGTTGGGTCGTGAGAAAAATGAATTGATCCCCGATATACCCGCCACTGGAGATAGGATTGCCCAGTAAATTAATCTTGCGAGGGGAATTTGATGCTGGAGCTGCCTGCTCTGCGACACTCCCGAGGGGACCGTTGCCGTTGGTCGCCGTTTGTGTATATGTGGGCTAAGCTATGCGATTGAAATTCCTCTATGCTTCTGTAAGCTTATTGCTGGGAAATAGTATGCGACACGATTTATGTCAACGCCACATACGTTTCCCTCTAATATTACGCGACTCAAACATAATGCATGTAATGTGCTGTCATCCTGCAGAACAGGTGATCATTGTGTATGAAGAAAGCGTCGGCTGTAAACGTTAAGCGTCAGCCCAGCATCTGCAAATCGCATGGGAGAAGAATATGTTGCAGCTTATCAGAAGCATTTATGATGCCAAGAGTAATTGCTTGAGTCTCAGCATATGACTGGATAAGTTTACTGTACAGATGTGTGACGCTTGTGTCACAAACTATACTGCCTGTAGGTGGTCAAGCCGAGATGCTCGAACTATTTCAGAATCTCCCTATTAATGTATACTAAGTGACATATAAATCCGAACACCCAGTTTAAATGGGTTTTTTTTAATAAAATTTTGTATAAGTACTTAATGAAGCATAATAAGTAAATGATGAAAATTTCAAAATGATTGCAAATCTGAACAAAATAAGATAAAGATTTTTCTAATTTTCTCAAAAACTTAACGTCAAAATAATGGAAAGACATTTCAAACAAGCTTTCACTCGATTTCTCTTGTGATTTGAAATTTCTAAGGGAATGCCTGGGGGCCGAGGGTGAAGTCGTTTTTGGTTAAGAAGTTGTCCTCCTTGACAAATCTTTTGATGTGTCGTGGCATTTTTTCTTTTGATCAGTGGTTTTCGATAAAAGCATGATGGGTTTTCAAATGAACACCCTGTATATTTGATTTGTCTGATATACCATATTTTTCCATTGGTATGGTACCATACGTTTTTCATACCATATTCGGCTGTACCAAAAAGATCATAAATTTCATTTTAAACGAATTTCGATTTTCATCGGACACATTGCATAACGCTACGACCCGAATGCACACTCCTACGCATTCAGTTTACCCCACAAAGAGCTACCCAACCTAGCCCAGACGAGATATGACGGACAATCATATTAAGTAATTTTAATGTTTACTCATGAATACCGAATGCACGGAACATAAATATTCCATGACTTTATGATGCCAGACTGTGTCGTTAATTGCCCGGCGGACCGTATATGGACGTCGGTAATATAACTAACAAATTTATTCTTAACGGGAATAATCCGTTTGGTATTGTCGTTGCTGTTAGTTGTTAGTGTTGCGAGATCGGTCACTTGTCACTAGGAGTAAAAGCAGCGATGAAAAATATTCAAAGAGTATATATACTAAGTGACATATAAATCCGAACACCCAGTTTAATAAAATTTTGTGTAAGTACTTAATAAGTAAATGATAAAAATTTCAAAATGATTGCACTGCTTTAAAGCCCTTTGACCTTTAATAATGTGTGGATGCACCCTGATGTGCTACGCATTCTCCAACGCGCCTAGGGATGCTCCTGATCAGGTGGTCAATGTCCTCCTGTGGTATCTCATTCCAGGCAACCACCAACTCCTCTCGAAGTGCTTCTAGAGTCTGAGGAGGACGTTGCAAATTGAGCAATCTCCTACCCATCATATCCCACACGTGCTCAATTGGGGATAGGTCGGGAGATCTTGGTGGCCATGGTAACAATGTGACATCATTATGTTGAACATGTGGTCGGGCATTATCTTGTTGGAAAGTTGGATCTGCCAGGGTTTCAAGATAGGGTAAAAGATGGGGTTCTAGAACTTCGTGGATATAACGCTGCGCGTTCATGTTACCTGTGATGAAGATTAAAGGTGACCTGGAACCATAAGCTATAGCACCGCAAACCATAACTCCAACAGTGTGATGAACATGTCTTTCAACAAAAAACTGTGGATCCCTCCTTTCACCACGTCGCCTTCTAACCCTGGCACGACCATCGTGCATGCCTAAACAAAATCGAGACTCGTCACTAAAGACAATACTGTTCCATTCCTGATCCCAGAGTGACCGTTGTCTGCACCACTCAAGGCGATTACGTCGGTGTTCTCGAGTTAGAGGGAGGACCCAGTGTGGCCGGTATGAAAACAAACCAAAACTTCTCATTCGTCGGTAAACACTTCGCATGCCAATAGGTCTTCCGTGTTCTGCAAACCATTCATTTGCAATCGACCTGGTAGTGGAGAAACGGTCCCTTAAGGCCAATAATCTTAGGCGGCGATCTTCACGGTATGTTGTTCTACGGCGGCGTCCAGTGCCCCTTGCTCTTTGCGTACGGCCTTCTCGAAGCAATGCCTGACAACACCTAACCACAGTGTCTACACTTCTTTGCACTCTAACTGCAATTGCCTGAAAAGAAAGTCCAGCTTCCCGAAGTCCCACTATACGGCCCCTATCAAACTCACTAAGTTGACGAAATCGTACAGGTCTCCGTACTCTAGGCATCGTAACCGATCGTAAAGGATGTCAAGAACCAAAATCCGCCAACGTTGATTCTTTACTGCGGCTGAAATATTCATTTTTAGAGCGTTAGTGAATTAAAAAAAAGCAGTATAAAAACCGGAATGTCCAACTGATAAGGCTGAAAATGTTTTCACTTGTAATTTACAGTAAGATAAATACATTCACCAACTTTTATTAAAATAAAACCATTTAAACTGGGTGTTCGGATTTATATGTCACTTAGTATACGTATAAAAGTGATTGACAATTCCTCGGCCATCATTCTAACTGTCAATCGACGGTCTTTTAGAACACAGCCCCGACTTGTAAGATTTACAAAATTCTATAAAATCCCTCGGAAAACCGAAACTACCAATAATACGAGAACGAACTGCAATTATACACAATGATTTCTAGGAGCTTCGAAAAGTTCGAGATAATGGATACGGCACGGGAATTTGAGAAAATAGATTAATCACCTGTTGGAAAGTTGGGACAATTTTGGGTGCCTTCCATACTTGAGGAAATTTACAAGATTTCATTGCCAAAGTGTAGGCAGGGTGTTCCTTAATGATATGCGAATATTTAAGGGTGTCAATCTACATGTAAAATTAATGTTAGTTTGCTTTAGAAACTATGGTCCAAAAATGTTTCCTTACAAAAACTCGGGGTGTTGAAGTTTTAGGAAAAAAATGGAAATTAATTAATATTTTCAGAACCGCTTCAGAAATTTCACTGATATTTTTAGTACGTGGTGAAATTTAATAAAGTTGCATATTTTTCAATGCAAAAATAATTTTTAGCTTCAACAGTGGAGTGCGTACGGGCATTGACTTCGATATTTTTTAAGAAAAAAATTGTACGCCAATGGTTTATTGCCAAATAAAAATTATTTATGAATTTCCCGTTCAATTTAAAACAAATGATCTCTCTTGAGTTGCTTTCCTTCGATGCGCCATTTTTGAGTAAAAAAATAAAAACCGTTCTATTGTCCGATGTTCCGTTAGCAATAAGAAGCAATATGTAGTACATGCACGATGGTGCACCAGCGCATTTCAGTGTAGCGGCTCCTAATTATTTACAAACTGTTTATCCAAATCGTTTGATTGGCCGCGGTGGGCCCCAAGAAGGGCCACCAAGGTCCCCAGACCTCAACAGTTTAGATATCTTTTTGTGGGACTATCTTAAGACACTAGTGTACACAAGTCCCATTGTCACTGTAGAGGAATATCATTAAGGAACACCCTGTATAGTCTGAAAAAAAAATTCAACTCACGGTAAAACTTGCCAATACGTAACACCTCATGTCGCAACTGCTTTCGTGCCGAAAGTATTAGTCATTCGCACAACTTCACCTGCTATCGAAGCTCCTTTTTTCGCGTCGAACTTTCCTAATCGCGAAAGTTTACGACGAGATGAGTCAAAGTGGAGTTAGGTGCAGGTGCATCCGCAGAATTTTTGCATAACCTTCTTAGATTTAAGTTTGCCTAAGAAAATAAAGGACATGAGGACGAGGGTAGAGACGTACGAGGGTTGGTAAAGTGTAATCCAACATTTTTGTCATCTTGGAATTTCACTATTTTGCTTCCAGCAAAATGTGTCGCTACTATCCAAATATCGCTATAACGTAATGATAGAAAGGCTTTGACTAATACTAAGGACGTCACATTTACAACCCCCTGCACCCTACAACCGCCAACCCCCACGTTTCAACCGCTACAAAAATGACCAGGAGTCTGTGGAACGTAAAAAACGAAGTTGAGCGATTTTTATATTTTTCGAGTTTCCAGTTTCCGATTAACAACAAGAAGTTTGTGTGTGCCGGAAGCATTGCTACAGGCAAGGATAGTCACACGTTCTTTACTGCGCTTGTAACGAGGAGGGGTTCGACTGTACTTCGTCACTTTTGGCATAGAAAGTAAAGAGGATCTAAAACCGTCTTTTACAACCGCAGACCCGGTGTTGGAATATTATAGAATCCATATCAAATGGGACCACAGGTCCACTTGATCTTCGACTTGACCTTATTTTTCACGCAGAATAAGCTCTATTTCATTGAATCCCAAAGTGGTCTATATCGACCCCTAGGGGTCTATGACAACCTGCAAGGGGTCTACGTCAGCGAAAAAAAATTTGGGGGTCCATGAAATGAATATGGGGGTCCACGATAGTGGATCTCAACACATACACTGATAGTACCTATTTACTTACATCATACTGTCTTATAATATCAAAACATATACATTATTTATGAAAGTACCTATGAAGTAAAAAATGTATTATATATGTTTATAAAATTGTGTAAGTTGTAGGATGTTGGTATTCGCTTTGTGGTCGCAATACATTTTAAACTTGTAAAAACCTGAGAGTCGCAGTCTCAGAGTTTCGATACCTTGCACTGACTTGTTCAATTCGTCACTCTATAAATACGAATGTGGGACAAATACGTTTATTCGTTTCCTGAATCTTGAAAAGAAAAGTGCTAAGAAGATATTTTAAAAAATATAAACAGATAGTATATCACACAAATTATAGTGAGTCAGTGTTATTTTGTTTGAGAGTGCTGGAGAAAAGTAAGTACATTATTTTTTATTAAATTTTAGTTTTGTACTCGTAGTTAGCAAAGATAGAAAGATTACGCCAATCATGACTTTAGTTATTAGTAGTTAAATATTCAATCATGCAAAATTACACGAGTACTCCTCAATAGTTTCTTTTTGAAAGCTTTTGCAATCGGTAATATAATTACAGTGCAATCTCCATAATTCGAGCTAATTGTTGCAAGAAGATGTTCGAATTATGGGGTGTTTTCGGAAAAATCAAAAAATATTTTTAATATACAGCTACTGGATTTTCTGTCTTATTTAAAGAATTTAATTTTGCCCACAGATGACTGATGCCATGTCCGAATCTAAAAAGAAATGTAGACAGTACAGTGTTGATTATTTGAAATTTGGCTTCATTCCATCATTGCCGGACAAACAATCGCCTATGTGCCTTTTGTGCAACAAAGTTTTGGGCAATGATGCTATGAAACCATCTAGATCATCTGAGAAGATGCCACCCTGATAAAACAGAGAAAGATTTGAAATACTTTCAAACACTCAAAGGTAAATTTCAGAAGAGACCTACACTGGACAGAATGTTCGCTTCGACGTCACAAAGAAATGATGATGGTTTGCGGGCGTCTTACAATATCTCGTTACTTATAGCAAAATCCGGAAAACCGCATACTATCGGAGAGAAGTTAATTTTGCCAGCCGTTGAAGAGGTTTTAAAAACTGTTTTACACAAACCTGCATCTGATATCATTAAAATAAATCCCTTAAGCAACAATACTGTTGAAAGACGTATTGATGAAATGAGTTCTGATATTGAAAGCTTCTTATGTAATTATTTGCAAACGACCCATGTCTCTATACAACTGGACGAGTCAACTTTACCTGATAATGCAGCATTATTATTGGCATATGTTCGTGTTATAATGAATCAAGAAATCTACGAAGAACTGCTCTTTGCAAGAACTTTGATAACCGACACTAAAGGTGAATCAATGTTTCATGTTTTGAAGGATTACTTCATTGAAAAAGCAATTCCTTTATCAAATATAATATCAGTAGCTACAGATAGAGCACCTGCTATGGTTGGACGTTATCGTGGATTTATAAGCTATTTAAAACAAAATGTGTCAGGGGTGTTAGCAATACATTGCGTCATCCATCGACAACACCTAGTTGCTAAAAATTTGAGTGTTAGATTGCATGAATCACTTCATTTAGTCATTGATGCAGTAAACCGAATCCGAAGCAACGCGTTGAATACGCGGTTATTTGCGAAGTTGTGTGAAGAAAATGACGAACACTTTCATCAATTACTCCTTCACACTGAAGTACGCTGGCTGTCGAAAGGCTTATGTTTGACAAGATTTTTTGCACTTTTTGAGACTATTTTAGAATTTCTGGATACTAAAGATAAAATTTTAAAAGAAAATTTAATGAAGAGGAAAAGAGACATCGCCTATTTATCAGATTTGTTTACAAAATTTAATATGGTTAATTTGCAATTACAAGGCGACAGTTTAAATTTGATTAAAACAAAGTCCATCTTATCAGCGTTTCTTGCCAGAGTTAAACTAATGAAGCAAAATATTGGACGGGGCGAATTTTCTCAGTTCCCCAATTTGTCACAGACAAGCTGCCAGGAAGACGACGTTTCAACTTACGTTCAACATTTAAATGCCCTCTATTCAGATTTTGAATCTAGATTTGAGGATATTTTGACTATGGTAATACCACCGTGGATAATTAATCCATATGGTGACATAGAAGAAACGAATGTCATAATACAAGAGGAACTGACTGAACTAAGTACAAACGATGAACTTAACGTTCATTTTAAAAACGGATATCAGCAATTCTGGCTGCAAAACAACATACCCGTTACTTATCCCGTATTATGGAACATACGTTTATGTTATAATTAATAAACGAACTCGCTTATTGTACTATTTTAAGTAAAAAACTTTTTTTTATTATTTTTCACTTGTTTTTTTATTTTATCCCTCTTATTTTTTTTCAATGCGGGCACTTATGGATCAGACACCTGTTTATTTAATGTTACCTATATTTTACATAACAGATACAAAATTTTATTATGAGTAGTTTTAATTTAAATTCAATTAATAAATGTATGAATTAACATGTGCTTTTACTTTAAGCTTTTAACACTAAACTTCACTACAGTTAGAAATTTACAGGAAATCAATATCAGGTAAGTAGGGGGTCTACTCAACACGGAAAAACATGGCAAGGGGTCTACGACACAAAAAAGTTTGGGGAACTCTGCTCTATTTCTTCTATGCACTGTGTGCATTTATCGATTTCCCTTATCTATCTCATTTGCAAGGAACTAAAAACCCTTGTTAAGTCCAGAGTGCTTTACGGCGAGCTCCTTGATAAGCGCAGGAACGATGGTTGTAAAAAAGATAATGAAACTGGAACCCATGCATTTAAGGCGGCCTTAATTACTAAAGAGGTATTTAATTATGGGATTAACGGTTGAAAAAGGAAAGGTACTTTCCACTTTACGTTCTAACTGCGGAATACTAATACTGCCCGGACAGTGAAATACATAGCTTTGTTCTAGGGTTAATTGCGCATTCGGAATTTATGGCGAAGGTTAAAAATGAAGGACGGTTTGGATGTCAAAAAAGTATTGGCGCAAATTTTTTCCACCAACTTTCTTTTTGAGCGGTCGAAATTAGGTTTTTCTGTGGTTAAAAAAACAGCATCTACAGTTGTAAAGAGTTGTAACATTCAACCTACTCGCATTGTACGTGCCGTCTCTTCTGTTCCGAATGCGTTCTCCCTCTCTCGTGCGCGCAATCCCAGCAAATCCTCATATCTCTTCCTACACTTGACGAGCTTTAAAGAAAAATTCTTAAAATTATGGTGAATGAGTCTATTCGAATCTTGCGACACTCCCACCATTTCTATAACAGAAGCACCTTCAATGCGAAGTTTTCATTTACATCGTTTGTTGTTATAAGCGGAAAAAATTCGATACATTGATGTAATTTAGTAATAGATAGTACCAAATTGTGTTTTTTTGTTATCGAATGAATAATTTTGAGTGGTCAAATCAATCGCAAACTATGTACTAAATTCCTATTTAAAATAAGTTCGAGATATTTCCTTATCTTTCTTCAAGAAATAACTTTTTTGCCACAAAAAAAAAAACGCTCCAATAGCTATTTTGAACAACAAAATGATAAACAAACCATGGGCGTAGTAAAGAAGATCATTTACTTATTAAGTAAATTCTTTTAGTCAAATTCCTTCTGAAAGTAATACAAACTAATCTGATGTACCTATTAAAGTCTACTTTAAGCTTTAAATCAATAAATCTTCAAAACTACTGAACTGAAGCTCATGTATTTTACATCATTATAAAGGGAATTGAAATACCTTTAAAATAAGGTATCACTCGACCCCCCTTTCCATTTAAGATTTTAGGGTTGGTGTCACCCCCGCTCAGGGGGCTGCACGTGTTAACGTGATTTTTTACAAAATTTGTGCCCCCCTCGAAAACAAAAACGACGGGTCTGAGCGTTTTTAAAAAAAAACTAAGCTGCCAGTAAATGCGTCTGTTTCGTTTTCGATGCGCCACCCTGTATAGTGTACGCGGTATCTCGATAACTTGTAAACTATTTGTATATGACTATACATTAAGACAAATAATACAAATAAGAAAACAAAGAACTTCCTCCTCGTCATTTAACAAGCGATGGTTTATCGCATGATTTTGGATTTGTTTCTAGGATTCCACAAAATCAGAAACGCTTCAATTTTGTGCTAATATTATCACCCTTGACAAAGATGGTACCGACCTTCCGAACACCCTGTATAGCTTTCGTCCGTCCAAACACAGACGGTCAAACACGGACACTTGTTTCGTGCTCTTGTGCTTCGTTCTTTGCTAAATCAAAACTGAAGCGCTCATTTTATACTAGCAACCCGATATAATGATGCACCTAAAAATTGAAAAATTCGCCGAGAAAGATCAGTATATTGTACACTTCCGGAGCCCCCGTGTATATACGCCACTGTCTTATTTGACGTGTATTGCTGAAACATATACTAAATGACATATAAATCTGAACACCCAGTTTAAATGGTTTTATTTTAATAAAATTTTGTATAACTACTTAATGAAGCATAATAAGTAAATGATAAAATTTTCAAAATGATTGCACTGCTTTAAAGCCCTTTGACCTTTAATAATGTGTGGATGCACCCTGATGTGCTACGCATTCTCCAACGCGCCTAGGCATGCTTCTGATCATTTGGTCAATGTCCTCCTGTGGTATCTCATTCCAGGCAACCACCAACTCCTCTCGAAGTGCTTCTAGAGTCTGAGGAAGACGTTGCAAATTGAGCAATCTCCTACCCATCATATCCCGCACGTGCTCAATTGGGGATAAGTCGGGAGATCTTGGTGGCCATGGTAACAATGTGACATCATTATGTTGAAAGAAGTCTATTGTGACTCTTGCAACATGTGGTCGGGCTTTATCTTGTTGGAAAGTTGGATCTGCCAGGGTGTCAAGATAGGGTAAAAGATGGGGTTCTAGAACTTCGTGGATATAACGCTGCGCGTTCATGTTACCTCTGATGAAGATTAAAGGTGACCTGGAACCATAAGCTATAGCACCCCAAACCATAACTCCAACAGTGTGATGAACATGTCTTTCAACAAAAAACTGTGGATTCCTCCTTTCACCACGTCGCCTTCTAACCCTGGCACGACCATCGTGCATGCCTAAACAAAATCGAGACTCGTCACTAAAGAGAATACTGTTCCATTCCTGATCCCCGAGTGACCGTTGTCTGCACCACTCAAGGCGATGACGTCGGTGTTCTCGAGTTAAAGGGAGGACCCAGTGTGGCCGGTATGAAAACAAGCCAAAACTTCTCATTCGTCGGTAAACACTTCGCATGCCAATAGGTCTTCCGTGTTCTGCAAACCATTCATTTGTAATGGACCTGGTAGTGGAGAAACGGTCCCTTAAGGCCGATAATCTTAGGCGGCGATCTTCACGGTCTGTTGTTCTACGGCGGCGTCCAGTGCCCCTTGCTCTTTGCGTACGGCCTTCTCGAAGCCATGCCTGACAACACCTAACCACAGTGTCTACACTTCTTTGCACTCTAACTGCAATTGCCCGAAAAGAAAGTCCAGCTTCCCGAAGTCAAACTATACGGCCCCTATCAAACTCACTAAGTTGACGAAATCGTACAGGTCTCCGTAACCGATGGTAAAGGATTTCAAGGACCAAAATCCGCCAACGTTGACTCTTTACTGCGGCTGAAATATTCATTTTTAGAGCGTTAGTGAATTAAAAAAAAAAACAGTATAAAAACCGGAATGTCCAACTGATAAGGCTGAAAATTTTTTCACTTGTTATTTACAGTAAGATAAATACATTCACCAACTTTTATTAAAATAAAACCATTTAAATTGGGTGTTCGGATTTATATGTCACTTAGTATATTTCATCCAAAAGGTAACCCATTGCTAAACGAAAAGGCATGAAAACCTGACGAGAAAACACAATAACAACTTAAGGAAACGCGAGGAAATTTAATTAATACGGATCCTACATTCTATCACCGACCGTACAACAGCTGTACAGTTCCATAACAGGAGAAATTACACAGTCTGGTACCGAACTTCAGGGGTTGTTCGTTTTTCAGGGTTAAAATTGCCCGGATATTAATAAAACCTCTTAAGCTGGTCGGACTCTGTCTTTCTCTGTCTCTGTCTTTCGCACTGATCTATGATTCAAGTCTGTTTCAGAGTTATGCTCTAATTGTTGTTTACTTATTATTCAGTGATTTTTCTGTATTCGCTCAATTTTTTTCATTGCAGAGTTCACAGACGCGCAATTTCAACTTCCGTCCGCAGTAAATCTGCTTCAGTTTCCGCCATCGAACAAGCATGGGACATGATCGGAAGAAAATTGATACAATAGACCCACAAGACATCAATCACCGAATCCAATCAATGCCGCGAACAGACGAGCTTCAATACATTATTAACATTAAGGTTGATCATCCAGCTGTTTTGCGAAATTTTGGGCTAAAT